TCCCTAGTTGCGATGCTGGCCAGCCTGGAAAGAGTTTTTTGTCGATATCTTACAGTGTGTGTAACTCATCTCGAACATGGAGTTATGGCTGTTCAAAGCAGGAGTGCCAGTTCACACAGCTCCTCGCAAACCCATCCCGGTGCTGCCCCCACCTGGGCGTGCTCGACTTCCAAGCCGTCAGGGGATCTGGCGCGTCCGCACTGGTCTGATCGCACCAGCACTGGCATATGCACCCTTTCACTTTCAGGATGTTGTGCCACAAAGCAATTGGCCATGGATGAACGTTTTAGGCCAGTCTAGCAACCGGCCAGGGCGATAGCCCAAATTAATCGGCCAGTGCTATCGAAAGAGGCAGGAGAGAAAAGGAGGTGTGACACGATGAAGTTCCAGACCCGCGCTGCTCCCGCTTGGTCCTACCAAATGCCAAAGCTTTACCAGGACCCAGAGTTGGGGTTGGGGTGCTCACGATCGAGGTGACACGTGCCCTCATGCACAGATTCCTAGAACGAATGTAGTGGGCTCAAAACCTGAGATAGAATTCCCAAACAGGGCCGTTGGAGGCCGAATCGGCCGATTTCATGGAAAATTGGCTCCCCAACTAGGTTCCCTAGTTGTGACACCAGTCGACCTGGAAGAGCTTTCCGTCAAAATTTTACGGCATGTGTAACTCCTCTCGGGCAGGGAATTATGGTTGCTCAAAGCAGGAGTGCCAGTTCGCACAGCTCCTCGCAGACCCATCCCAGCGCCACCCCTCGCTCGAACACGCTTGGCATCCAGGCTGGCAGGGGATCTGGCACGTCCACGCCGGTCTGATCGCACCAGCACTGGCATGCATGCCCTTTCACTTCGGGATAGCGAGCCGCCAAGCAATCGGCTGTGGAAGAACATTTTAGGCCAGTCTCGTGGCTGCCGGGGCGGTAGCCCGAATTGATTAGCCGGTGCGATTAAAGGAGGCAGAGAGGAAAGGAGGTGTGACGCAAGGATGTTCCAGAATCGTGCTGTGCCCGCTTGCTCCCGCTAACCACCAGTGCTCCGCTGGGACCTAGACATCGACGTTAAGGTGCTCAAGCCTGAGGCGACATGTGCCCCCCAGACACGAATTTCTAGAACGAATGGAGCGGGCTTGAAACTTGAGAGAGAATTCCCAAACAGGGTTGTCGAAGGCCGAATCGGTGGATTTTGAGAAAAACTGGCACCCCAAACGGGTGCCCTAGTTGCGACACCGGCTAGCTCAGAGAAAGCTTTCCGTTGATATTTTAAGGCGTGTGTAACTCCTCTCAGACAGGGAGTTATGGCAGTTCAAAGTAGGAATGCTGGTTTGCTAGCTCCGCGAGGACCCATCCCGATGCCGCCCTCACTCGTGCGTGCTCGGCATCCGAGCCTCCAAGGGGATCTGGTGCGTCTACATCGGTCTGATCGTACAAGTGTTGGCATGCACGCCCTTTCACTTTTGTGATGGCGTGCCACCACGCAATCAGCCGCGAACAAACGTTTCAGGCTAGTCCCGCGGCCGGCAGGCGCAGTAGGCCAGATTGATCGGCCAGTGAAATTGAATTATTGCTTCTAGGAGAAGAGATTTTCTTCGATGGAAAAGAAAAAGCATTCTTTTCTATCCAATCTAGGAGATCTTTATTTTCTACTTCTTGTAAAAAAAGCTTGTAAGAAGAGTTTACTCCTGAGTTAAATATAATTGTTGATGGTTTCCTGCCTTTTTTTTTTTTTGGGCTTCTTGTGTTTTAAATTGGAGAATCAATCCCTTCGTGTGCCACTAAATTCTTTCCAGTGTTTTAAGTATGCAGGGTTGATGTCATCTATTACATTATACAATGTGTCGTCATCATGATGACATAAGTCAATGTGACTGCTGTAGTAATTGTGATGTCCAAGGGATTTGGCCTAGCAAGTTTTTCTAGTTTTGGATGGGCCTTCCAGAATTAGGCTTTAAGGCTAGTACGACCTATTTTGGGTCTCTATGACATTAGGTTGACCCAATTTATTAACACATCTAGTACACCCGTGAAATTTGGGAAAGGTGATCAGTACTATACTGGTGACTTTTTGAAGATTATTCGCACTCTCGCTATTCTCAGGACGCAAGGAAGAACGAAGAATAACTAGATGGAGTAAGGCTCTCATTATGCATATTATTCAATCAATGAATTCACTGGATATTACAACCTAAAACTCTTCCCATATATTTGTAGTTGGCCTCTATACAATTGCTTGCTTTCCTGCCTAATTACAAGTCTACAGCCCAATTATCAACACTAGTAAGTTGTGACTTCAACTATACTCTAACTTCCTTGGCATGCATCAACTTTAGTGGGTCCTTTCTCAAACAAATGGGTCAATTTGCCAACTATCTGCAACTTTTTCCACTATCACCATGGTTGTAGGGCATAGGGCTACATTCACATCAACCATTTGAGTCCATTGGCTAGCTTTGACTCCCACAATCAACTTCCCTGGTCTAATGGGTTGACTTGCCAAAGAACTGCAACCCCTTATGTGAAGTTTTGAAAGTGCTACCTTGACCCTTGCATTAGTCTAACTACACACACCTTGGTTTTTGGCACCAAGACAATAGGCTCACTAGCTAGCTGTAACACCACCAAACAACCAATTCCACATCAACTCCACTATAAAGTTGTTAAGAGCTATCGTCACTTCAATTAGCAGCTTCCTAGCGTGTTGTGTTGGATGTAACGCCTTTACAACTACACTAGACTTCCATTGGAAAGCCTTTCTCTTAGAGTGGATCACCCTGCTAGACTTCATCAATGATAGTGGATCTGATGATTAAAATGAAGTCTCTTGACCTTAGTGCAACGTTGATAGCATCAGCCTCCCCTATTTCTCTCATTATTGCCCTTGTTGCTATTTCTGTACTCCTAGATTGGCCATCCCTTATTTTCTTAACAAAGCTGCCCTCTCTATGTCACCACCAGAGTTGATTTCCTTCGCCTTAGCTCCGGAGATATGCCTTTCAACTAACGACACCGTAGAATGGTCAACCTCCAAAATGGTTAACCAGGCCACCAACTTCGCAACATTAGCTATGACATCAACTTCTCAAGTTGGCAACCCAACTTCACAAATAGGTTGCCACTAAAGATCTCCCTAGATTGAGGCACACCTCGAGTCAAGGCACTCATCACCTGAGATTGTGATGTGATGTCTTTGACTTGATTCAAACTTCCATCTAGTTTCAACTTTTTGCTAGTTCGAATGGCCCCTAATTCAAACCTCTTTTAGGTTCAAATGGTGATCCAAACAAATTCCAATTGGAACTACCTTGTGGTTCAAACGATCGCCTTCTTCATTGCATTGTGCTTTGGTGGATGGTCTAATGTGCCTTTTGACATTGGGCCATGACAAAAGAGTCTCAATTATGGTAAGATTTTTTAACACTAAACACACACTATCAAGAATGTGAGAGCTACATTTCAAAGCTTTTTGTTTGCTTGCTTCAATTCCGTTCTCTTTTCTTTCATTCGTTATTCAAAGATCATCAATGAGGTTTTATATAGATAGAGCATTTATGAAAAAACTAGTCACGTTTGTAAGTCGCTTATGTCTAGTCAATATTACTCAATCGATGGGCTGAAGTACTATTTGACCGTTCCTCTCAATGTATCAAAATTCAAATTGAATTGCTGAATATTAGGCTTAGAGTTAGTCCCATGTCCACGGACCTAATTGATTGTCCCTTAATCCAGATATAGCAAACTAATTCTTAAAACATTTAATTTTGGATTGATATTGAAAATATCTACGAGATCCTTTATGAACCAAAGCAGGTTAGAAATCTCATTTCTTGTTACATTGAAAATTCCAACCCCAAACCTAATCTTCTCCCGAGGTCAAGCAAATAAAACCTAAAATTGCTTCAAATAAACATTTTTAATGCACGTCAGAAGTTTTGTTAACATCAAAATCCTGATAAAGGTGTGTAACCATAGCACATATTAGAGAAGTGAGTTACACTAATACGCCATCTTCCTCCAATCATCTCGCCATAAACAGCTTAAGAGGCATGGGATGATAAGCTTCATAAAGAAAATGTTGGGTTTGGACATGGGCTAATGGGTTTGGGAAATCTTTTTGAGAAAAGGATACAATTAAGAAAAAACTACAAAAAAGAAGGCTAAAAACCAGCCGTCCTCTATACCCCAGTAACATTGTGTCACCAATAATGGAACCAAAGTGGAGGTTTTATCCAGGCGAGACTCAAGCTAGAGGGAACCAAAGAAGGTCTCTCTGAAGCATTTAGTAGAACCAATCCCATTATCATTCAAACCCAACATTCAGGCTCCAATTCATCGCCAATGCACATTAATAATGCTTTAATCATCTATATAACCTCCAGTCCTCATAATACAAAACTGGCACCTCCACAGTGAAAATAAATGAGGAGCAAACTTAGACTTGTCCAATTAAAATATAAGAAGGACGCACTATCTCAATCTACATCACATTAGTTTCACGTACCCCTTTCTTTAGAGCTGGTTTATCTTGATTTTGTCATTTACTCCAAATGTTCATTTAGATATCACAAATAAATTACAAAGCAAACAAAATACATTCCTATCACTAATAAACATTAATATGGCTACAGAATTAGTGGCATCATCTTCATTATAAATGTGTCACATATATTGTTCCCAGAGGTCACGAGGGAACTTCAATGCCCACTTCCAAATGAATGAAGACCTTTTACTTTTTGCTCCTCAAAGAAAAATGCTCTCCATATTCCTTATTGCTTCAGGAAGTGATATATTAGGCATCAACGTACTATCGGCGCTGCAGATACAAAGCGGCTTATAAACGTGATAATTAATATCTTTCCTGCATTTTTGCCCTCGCAAAAAACACTCCTGCCACCAGACCTACAAGACAGTTGGAATTCATGTTCAGTAGAGATTTTCTGGAAGAAATATGTTCTTTATAAAATAGAGACATAACTATTCCCAAAAACAAGACCACAGGCAAAGCAACTATTAAAGTGCAGCTTCCTGTTTTGCTGTACTCCTGATCAAAATACAGGCTGCCCTGATAAAAGCCTTCCTTATGTTGGCAATACAAACTTTCTATACAAAACAGGGAACTTACCAAAGAAAATACTTGCAGAGTTTTCTACACTGGTAGGGACGTGGAACAGAAGGATACCAGCAATAGACAGAGGAATTTTATTGAGTGACCCTACAAGGCTGCAGCAAAAGGAACGGTTGCTATGAAACAGGAATTTAAAATCATTAAATCTCTGCAAAAAGGACAAGAGTATCTAATACAATTATGTACTCATAAGCAACTGTTGTATATACGACTTAAACAAAGCCCATATGATTAGAAATCGAAAAAAGGCATGCTAAAGCCTTGGATAAAAAGATTGTTTCAATCCCTGCCAAGGGTTAAAGGTCAACTTGGCTCAAGAATCAACACCACCACCCCCCCCCCCCCCCCCCCCAAAATTAGAAAAAAAAAAGTTTATAAAAAATGCTAGACCAGTTTGCCTCAACCCTGACTTAGTCTAAATATTCCAAAACCCGGAATTCATCCTACCTCAACCAACAATTGTCATGTCAAAAAGTAATTTAAGGGATGGATCAAAAAACTGATTCAGTGTTAAGTTTATAAACTTACCTGTACGTAGTGGCCCCTGTTTGGTGAAGAAACCACATTGACGTGAAGCTGATTGCTAGACCCAAAAATCCACTAAATGTAATCACAAACCAGAAAGTGGGCATCCTTAAAAGTGGTCTGCCATTTGTTGAGAAACATACATGTCAGTAAAACATATCTAAGACTGAAAGACAACAAATTACAAGATCTGGAGGAGACTTATGTCGCCACTTTAAAAAAAAAAAACAACCAAATTCTAGCATGGTTTATTTGTTAAATTGATTAGTTCTAACAAGAGTTAAATAAATTGATTACAATTGCAACAGATCTACAGGTTGCAATGAAGAAATATATAATTGTCCCAAATGTTTCTATTTCTAAGAGGTGAAACACAATATTAATGGAATACTCGCATGATGATATTCCATTCAAAACCCTTCTGAAATGCTAAGCAGACCAAACTTCTTAAGAAAAAATGCTGATTACCAGCAGTAGACATTATTATCAGGCTTAGACATTTTTGAAAACTAAAACAAAAAGCTTAAGACACCATTCTGTATCTTGAGGGCAGGCCTTGGTACAACAGTAAAGATTGCTCCTTACAACCAAGACATCACGCATTTGAATCATAAGATATACCTTTCTCATGCAGCGGTGAAGTTACATATGTCTAATCCCATAATGCCCTGTTTGAGGGTGGGGTGGCCCAGTGCACAGGGTCGAGTACACTTTAGTGTATATCAGAACTTACTCTCTGTTTTTACTTTGCTCCCTTATGTCAGTGAAAATCCATATATTTATATATGTAAATTTTAAAACATTTGTAAGTGTTTCGATTTTACAGACTCAAACAAAATTTGTAGAAATGTTAATCCTTGACATAATGGTCCCATAAGAAACAAATGATACACCAACAAACACATAAAAATTGTTCAAAAGACCCATATCATCAACTCAGCACCATTTGCTCCTTCCTTAGGCTGCTCTGTTCCATTTATTGTCCCCATTCCTAAATGTTTTTCGGTTGGTGTGGATGCACCAATAGTGGATTTCATGGATTTTTATTTCAGCTAGTCAATTCTCAAGTTAATGCTTTATGAAGGCATGATAACAAATTGATTTACTAAACTTGAATCAGCATACACATTGGCAGCAGCACACAGTATATTGGATTTGCTTGCGACATACATCAAAGTTAACCATTTGCACATTTATACAGACATCATTCATTTATTTAAGGTGCGTGAAGGAACGCTTGATAACATTTAATATTTACAAATAACTTCAGTTTTCAAAATACAACTAGGCAAGTATGCAGATCAACTTGATGATGATATTAGTACAACTTATGCATTAAGATTGTTAACTTTGCATGCTTTATTTATGTTTTTACAAAAAGCAAAACAAATAAAATTATATAATTCAAAAAAAATTAAAGGGTATCAAAAGCCTTATGGCGTCTTCCTGGCCAAAGAAAGAAGAAGAAAAAGAAAACAAGGAAAGAAAGGAGGCCAAAAAACAATTTGAATGGAGTTAAGTCCTAGCATAGACAAGTTTTTCAGAAGATGATCACTTAGGTTTCTGAGGAAACTGAAGGAAATTTTGTTGGTATTAGTATTATTTTGTATTACTAAGGGCAAGCCTTGGATGAACAATAAGGATGCTTTCTTCTTTTGTGACATGAAGGTCACAGGCCTAAGTCACGGAAACAATTTCTTTGCTGCAAACACTTGACAACCCTCTCTAGACACTCATGAAAGCTTCCTCGCCAGCCCTCTATTACTTCCTAGTACTGTAAATAAATATATTAGCTGTAGTCAATTAGTCCTTTTTAAGCCTTTGGAAAAGGCACCCTCGTGTCATCTCACCCCAGCAGTATAGCTGCAGCTAAACTGCATCAAAGTTTGTTCAAAGTTCACACATTCAATGAAGATGGCCAAGTAAACTGAAATTGCATATATATAAAAATGAAAAGATCATTTTATAAGAGTATTATAGTACACCAATCAAATTGGCTAGCCAACACTATTCTATCATAAAGAAAAATCAATTGCAAAATTGCATGGAGATCCTGGGATCTCCTACATGCTAATCTCTTAGTTTGGTAGAAGGGTCCAAGAAACAGATCCCACCACAATGGCCATATGGGACTGCTCCGAAGATAAAAGGTTTATAGCAAGATCTAATCCCACTCAAAACAGTCTTTTGAAAACAATGCGAACAATTACAACTTCCAAATGTAATACAAATTTTAGAGATATTTTCAATCAAGAAAATAAACATAAATATCATAATGATGAATGAAATAATAATTTTTTTAAAAAAAAAAGAAAAAGAAAAAATTACTACTAAGAAAGAAAGGAGAGTGTATTTATGAATTATGCATGTTTTTGGAAGTTGTTCCCTTGTAACTACTGTTACCAGCATTTGTGTTTTAGCCATTCAACAATGATTATTTACATAGTTCAGCCATGTAACCAGTGTCATGTCACTAATAAAATACCAAGTAAAACACCAAATCAGAAAGGTGAACATAGAAACAAAAAAGAAAACTCACGTTTTAGAGAGATAATCCACTTCCTTAAAGGTAAAGATAAGTAGAACTCCTAAGGGCAACGAAAGTGTGTTATTGAGCAGGACCATTGAAAATTCATTCAAGTTTCCAGATTTTGTAACCTGTTTTGCTGTATCCATGACCCTCCGCAATGTTAACTGCAAACAAAGATTAGGTGATTAAAATAAATATACATTCTTTCCATTTCTTTAAAAGTTAAAATAAAAAGAATAGAACAGGAGAAGAGAAAATGCACACAAGACAGCATGTAGCCATTACATCAAAAAGCTAACAAAAATTAGTAGTAAACAAAATTTAATATTATTGCAAAATACGGGAAAAACTGTAGGCCCCCTACCATAATGCTTTTCTGATGATTGGCAAGTTAATCCCACTACTCAAAATCCGAAAGATATTGTGTTGAAAACAGACAAATCACAACTGGCAAGGAAAAAGAAAAAAAGAGAACATCTACACCAAATAAGCAAATGACGAGAAATTTGTCATAAAAGGCAGCCAAAAGCTCCAGAGCCATCATTCAAGCCCTGGGCAGGTGCAGCCTACATTACCTTTTATATAGGTTATATTTACATATAGACTGCGTGACAGCCAAGATGCTTACACCAAAAGTGAGCAACCTTACCCAACACAACAAGGACTAGTGCAACAAGGAAGCACAGAATAACAGCCTCACTCAAATAATAATAATAATAATAACAACAACCTCACTCAAAATGAAAACTTGGGTAAGACTATAAGAGGCAATGGATTTGAAATTTTTTAACCTAGTATTATGGATAAATTGATGTGAACAACAATAATATAATTATCATCTTCAGAAGAATAAAAAATAGAGCAAGAGGGAGGAAAACAGATGAAAAGAGACAGACACACCTATTCCACACCATTATCTTTAAGATCCACGTCTCTTTTGTATATAGCTCCATACTTAATCATCAAACAAGAAAAAACGTACATTTAGGTCGTAAATCATCTACAAGGGTCTTAATGTTACAAAATATAAATACACCCTTTATGTTGCCCCAATTAACAGTGAGTGAAGTAAGAATTTAATTTTCCAAAGACAAAAGCTTCTACAGTACCTAGCCTATATAGCAACAAATAAAAATAGCTGCATCACATGCTGTCATATGCACATTAAAACCGATAAACTTGACACTATAAAGAAATTATGCTTTTTGGGAAGCATAGATTATCAAACAAATCCTTCCAAGCAAACAAAAACCTTCTAAAACTGTATAAATAAACCAACATCAATGAAGTAATATACAGCCATTTCTACAACATTCACAAAAGAAGTTATATTATCCATTTATAATAATTAAAAAGTATACCTTCAGTTTCTTTCATGGGAAGCCTAAAGAGACTCATATTTATTGCCTTAATAGATCAAGCCTACAGTTACCAGAAATGAACATTTGCTATTACAAAAATAACAAGGATTTTTTTGAATTCTAATTACAGAACTTTGTTTCATCATTCAACAACCTAAAGGTGATATGGGACTCAACTTTTATATATAGCATGTTGGTCTAATAATACAAGATGTTCTTATAATTATTTAATGTTTTCAGGATACATACCAAGAGTGGAAGCAATAACAAAGGAAGTACAGTTCAAATGAAGGATAAAATAAATGGGAACCCCTTCTCCAATAGCAACATGAAAAAGGTCGGGCTTTTTTTTCTTCAATAACAAAAGAGCCAGGCTTCCAAAAGAGCCCATGAACCAAACAGACACAAAAGAACTAAACAAATATTCTCAATAAAATTACCTCTCTTCATAAGAGCTGACATAAAGCAAAAGGAAAAAAACAAAGCAACTAAAATAAATTTTATTTTGTCACAATCACAACCTTGTCACAAAACAATGCAATCACTGGACGTATCAAAATAATAATAAAAAAGATAGTGGCTCCCTAGACCCAATTACCCCAATTCCTTTGAATTGTTCAGTTTTTTAAATTATTTTGGCAGTTGAATGTGCGTGATATGTCAATTTCCACAATAAACAATGACCCTTTTAGACAGTTTACAGCAACTGCATCAAAATTAATCACAGCTAAATATAGCCATCAAACCTAAAAGTAAAAAACTTGAACCAAGAGTATATATACTTGCAATATAGACATTTCAACACAAATATTAATATAAATGCATGCATTAAATTTCTCAAATAAATGCATGCATTTGAAATGGTTAAATATGTTTTTTTTAAACACAGCAGCCACTCCTTTATTTCTAAATTGGTCGTAAACTTGGCCAGATTAGAAGATTTTGCAAGACCATTGAGAAGTTAAGCGCTGAACAGCAACCTAACATTCTTTCTAGACATGTTTATGCACAAATGCGTTTTTTTCCCTACTAAAATCTGGTTCATGATTGTAGTTTCCTACATACTGCCTTAGTTCTTTGTTATGAAAGATTGTGTAGGATTATGTAGCATCGTGTTAAGATTTTGATTTGATTACGTAGAATATTAATTTACTTAAATTAGCTGAATTAGGGATTTTCTAATTTATAGCATTCCTAATTAGTATAGAAACTCTGCATATATATATTTGTACCTCTTGTATCATTCAAATATATTGAGAAATACAATTTTTTCACATGGTATCAAAGCACGAAACCTATGATAACCTTTTTGTGTTCTATATTAGTTTTTGTCTTCAATCAGTTGGCTCCCAAGAGTGAGTCATCTGAGTTCCATCTTCCTTGAAATCAACTCCCTGTGTGAATGTATCTATGATGTTTGCAAAGATTTCACCGTGCAAAGAAACAAGATTAACCTCTCACATCTTATTCATGGAGTTTGAAAGGGTTCATGAAGAACCTTTCAGTCCAAATATGAAAGTTCAACAAACCCAACCAGAACAAATGGCTATAATGAGTTTTCTCCCTGGTCTTCCTCCACAATACGATAATGCTAAATCTCAGATTCTATCTAGTCCTGAAATTTCATCATTACATAGTACTTTTATTAGAATGCTCCATACAAAAATCTATCAGTCTATACATCCAACTAGTAGTGCTCTTGTTTGTCGCAGTGAAATTGGATGACAAAGTAACAAAGGAAATAGAGAAAGAAATGTGATACGAAATCAAATCAGGATATTGCTTCAAAACTAGTGTTATCAATGGCGGATGGCGGCCCATGGCAGGCAAGCCCAAAAACTGCCATGGCGCCATGGTGGATGGCGTGGCGGCCATGGCGGACAAAAAAAATTAAAATTAACAATAAAAATTTGTAAAAACAACTAAAAACTAATATTAAATGAAAATAAATATCATCACATCATTTCATAACAACCAAATAAGTGTCACAAACATTCAAAAAGAAGAACAAGAAGCACGTATTAGAGTCAAACTCTCAATAATAATTCCAAACACACAAAACATTCTTAAACTACATAAATTCTCATTCATCCTCATCCTCCATGTAATTGTCCTCCTCATCATTGTATTTCTCATCGTCATTTGAAGCATATCCCACTTCATCTTCCGAGCCATCTTCGGTATCTTCTTCCTCCTCCAAAATCACCAATTCTTCTTCTCCAAGGGGCCTTGCTTTTGAACTATTACTTGGACCTTGCTTTTGCACTAGAACTTGGACCTTGCTTCTTTTCAGCTCTTGTACTTGAGGATCCTCCTTCATTTCTTGCTTTCGACCTTGTATAGGTCCTCATTTCTCCAAGTTCCGTTGCCCTATAAACAGTCCCCCAATTAAGAATGTCATCATCTTCATGAACCACTCATTGCAATCATCAATATTGGAGAGAGAGATTGGGTCAATCTCATTTCTAGAATCATGCCGCTCTTTAAGTGCTTGGTTATATTTCACAAAAACCAAATCATTTAATCTTTGATGCTCAAGTCTATTCCTCTTCTTGCTATGAACCTGCAGCATCAATTAAATTCAAAAATTTATTACTAGTTTACTAAGTCACTAATTAGAAATAACAACTAAGACCATAAATCAAAGAAAAAACATTACATGCTCAAAAACACTCCAATTACATTCACAGCCAGATGCACTACATGTTAAGCTCAAAATTTTGATGGCTAATTGTTGCAAATTAGGGGCTGATTGTCCAAATATACGCCACCATTCAGCTACAAAATCATAAATACTTATCAATAACTTTTAAAACTTAAATCCTTAAAAGATAAGAGCTGAAAATTTAAGTTAAAATTTACTCAACTAAGTAATATAGGCCTCTTATCAGGTGCCATGATTTTCCTCTGTGATATTGCAAAATTATTTTCAAAAAGGCCACTAGCACTCTTATAAATTGGCACCTCATTAAGAATTTTCTGCTGCACATCTTCGTTAGGCACTAGCCTCCTAAGGCATTGATACATCCCTGAGGTAATTGCAAAATCAAATTCAATGCTTGGATTGTCATAAAAATATTCAGGATTTAGAAAATGACCACAACGTGCAATGGGCGGTGAAGCTGACAATTCCATCCCTTATCAATTATTTCAAATACCTCTTTGTACTTCTTCTCATCTTCTTTGAAAGACCTCATGATAGCTTTCTCAATCTTGTCCATTGCTTCATAATTATAGCCCATCGCTGATTTTTTTTCACTATCAACAAATCTAAGGACTTTAACAAGAGGTCCCATCACTTTAAGAGCATAAACAACCTTGGGCCAAAAACTAGGCATCAATGCAATCTTTGCCACCTCTTTCCCTTTAGAATCCTTAGCCAAATTACATTTTGCTCATTGCCTCGAAAAGAACATTCTTTTAATGTTCTCCTTTTCTTGGTAAAGCCTCTCCAATGTAAGAAAGCTTGTAGCAAACCGAGTGATAGCATGCCTAACCAACTCCCTTTTATTTATGAAGTTTCTCGTCAAGTTCAAGGCAATTGAATGATTGTAAATGAATCCAACAAGAGTAATAGCCCTTTGTATTGTTTTCTTCACTTCGGGAATTTTTTCAATATCTTCCAACATGAGATCTATGCAATGAGCGGCACAAAGAGTGTAATAAAGATGATTCATTTTATCATCCAACAATTTTCCAGCCAAGACATAATTACTTCCATTGTCGATTATCACTTGAATCACCTTCTCCTCACCAATCTCATCAATAAGAGCATCAAGATACTCAAATATCTTCTCACCGGTCTTTGTATACTTTGATGCATCAACAGATTTTACAAACATTGTCCCGACTGGAGAGTTCACCAAGAAATTGATCAACGCTCTTTGCTTCCTATCAATCCATCCATCTGACATAATAGAGCATCCATGTTTTTCCCATTGCAACTTGTGACCGGACATCAATTGTTCGGTATGTGCCACCTCTTTCTTGAGGAGTGGAACCCTTATCTCATGATAAGTTGGCCCTCTTAAACCTTGACCATAGGCTCCAATGGCTTCAATCATATGACGAAAACTCTTCAATTTGACTGCATTGAATGAAACTCCAACTTGATAAAACCATCTAGCAATGTATTGATTCACTCTCTCTCTTGCTTCCTTGTCACATGCTTCTCTTATAACTGATTGTCTCATTTTCTCCTTTTTTCTTTTTGCAATAATGGATTCTGGCTGCTGAAACATGTATAAATACATAAGACCTTTCATACTATTACTTCTATCTATGGTCTTGGCCTTCTTCTTAGCCCTTATCACCTCTTTTAGACCCTCTTCTTCTTCAACGTAACCATATCCTAAACTCTCCAAATCATTACTAGCTCCTCCACTTTCCATTTCCTTTTCTTGATTGCTCTTATCTTTTTCTCTAAAATAACTCCACAACTCTTCTCTAACTTGCTTTGGGCACTTAGAACAAGCTGCAATATTACCCTTTTTTCCCATTAAATGATATTTTGCTCTAGTAATCCCTCCCTTTGTAACTTTTTCACAAAAATTGCAAACAACAATATTTGTGTCACCCTCTTTCAAAGGATGACAATACTTCCATCCTGGATCACTCCTATTACTATTGCTGGGAGGAGCAAATGCAACAGATAAGGCTTGTGAAGAGCCAATGGTTGTCATATTTCACCTAAAAAAAAAAAAACAAAACTCAATTGTCCTACGCAGCAAGCTAGCAATAGGCCAGCAACAGTGGGTAATATTACTGATAACTAAAAAAAAAGAAAAAAAATTACTCAGTTCGAGTCTCAGCAATCGGGCTCGCAATTGTCTCCCTCGGCTTGAACTGCAAAGTCTGGCTTGCGATGGTCTCTGGCTCGCAATCGTCTTTGGCTCGCGATGGTCTTTGGCTCGCAATCGTCTCTAGCTCATCTCTGGCTCACGATCGTCTCTGGCTCACGATGGTCACTAGCTCGCAATCATCTCTGGCTCGTCTCTGGCTCGTCTCTGGCTCACGATGGTCTCTGTTGATCGTCTCTGCAAAGTTTGCTATTCGACTGCAATGTTTGCGCGCGAAATGATTTTCGCGCTCTACGATCGTCTTCGTAGCCCCAACCCAAGCCCTAGCCCACTTCACAGAAACGCTTGGGCTAGTCGAGGCCCACAGGCTAGCAGCAAGGTACTAATTACAGCCATGGCGCCGCCATGACGCAACGACGCCACGAGCATGGCGAGCATGGCGGGCGCCATGGCGCCGCTATTTGAAATAGCCTTATTGCAGATGACACTATGGTGAAATTTTGGAATTCCGCCACCGCCATACGCCATGGCGCCGCCATGGCCGTCATTTGATAACATTGTTCAAAACAGAAATGGACTAGAATAGAAAATGGTAGAAAGTATATAACCAGTTTTACTTGACAAGATCACGCACCACAAGCAAAATCTGGAGGTTTGAATCGCCACACTCAAGGATGAATGATAAGATTCAGGGTTTTCACCACTAAACAAAAGGCTTGTTTAGATGAGAAAGAACTAAAGCGCAAATTGCAACTTTTATTCATCAACCAAATATGAGTACATTCATTTCTCAAAAGGGATATATATAGAGAAAAACTACAACCTAGACATGGGTAAAGACAACCAAACATGACAGCATTTATTACAACTTTGAAAATATTAAGGAATAGTTGATAGAGCATTAATTGTTAGCTAGTAGACAAGAGGTTTAATTGTTGCAATTAATGCAAAGCATTAATTGTTGCACCAACTTGTCAACAAAAGCATGCAATACATAAATTGTTGCATCAACTAGTCAACAAGGGCATTAATTGCTGTAATTAATGCAGAGCATTAACTACACCACCAACTTGTCAACAAGAGCATATAATACATTAATTCCTATATCAACTAGTCAACAAGAGCATTAATTGTTATAATTAATGCATAGCATTAATTACACCTCCTTTGTAGTATTTAAATCAAGTGACTCGTATTCTTCTCTTCTTATTTCTAACTCCATTGATTCAATGCAAACTAGCAAGGTTTGAGATTCATGGAGTTATTTTGCTCTTGAACGAGTGATTGGTCCAATAATAATATTGGATGGTTCTTCTTGTGCTCCATGATTCACATCAAAATGTTGGCAATAGAGGATATCAGTGCAATGGGAATACTAGCACCAATCGTGAATCAGGGGGAGTAGTTTGCCATTATTGTCAAGAATCAAGACATACAAAGCGTACATGTTAGAAATTTCAGAATAAGTCCCAATGAATTCAGATAGTAGTTTCCTCTGTAACTTCAGTTGATGGGTCAAAGTCCCCTATCATAGGTTCTAGCATTGCTAACCCAACACCTTCAAAGCTAGGGGAAGGACGTTGATCTCCTAATCTATGCTGTCAAATTAGTGACTAGTTCTCAAATGCAAGTTACTAAGATGGAAGATACTCAACTGTCTATTATACATGCTTACTCTAGGAAATCAAAGACTCTTGACTTCGATCCTCTACCAGTATCTTCGTCAAAAGGTCCTATTCCACTCACCAATCTTGAGTTAGATTTAGATCTTCCCATTGCTATTTGTAAAGGTAAATGTACATATACCTATTCCATTGTCATTCCTAAAACAGGCAAGCCCTTATCTCATCCCAGCTGCTGTAGTACAATGGAAGGGGAAATGGTGTCTTTAAATGCTCGTGGTACATGGGAACTAGTGTGTCTACCTTCAGACAAGAAAGCAATTGGTTGTAAATGGGTGTTTACCATGAAAGTAAATCCAAATGGTTCTATAGCTCGTTTAAAGGCCTGCCATGTTGCCAAAGGCTATGCCTAGACTTATAGAGTTGATTACTTGGATACTTTTTCTCCTACTGCCAAACTTGCTTATGTACCTGTTTATCTCTTTAATAGAAATACATGATTGGCCTCCACATCAACTAGATAACAAAAATGGTTTTCTACATGGTCATCTACACGAGTAAGTGTATATGGAGCAACCACCTAGTTTTTGTTGCTCATGGGGAGAAGGGTAAAGTTTTGCAAACTTCAGAAATCTCTTTATAGTTTGAAGCAGAATCCTCGAGCTTAGTTTGCAAGATTTAGTGAGGTAGTACAAAAGTTTGGTATGCAAAAAACACGTGATCACTCAGTGTTTTTGGATTGTTAAAGTATTTTTTGGGTATTGAGGTTACAAGATGTAAGAATGGTATTTGCTTATCTCAAAGAAAATACATTCTTGTTTTATTGGCAAAGATAGGGAAATTGGGTGCCAAACCCTGTAGTGCACCAATGGCACCAAATCATCAACTCACAGTAGGAGAGGGCGAGTTATTTGAAGATCCAAAGATGTATAGGAGATTAGTTGGTAAGTTGAACTATCTCACATTCACTCGTCCAGATATTGCATATGTTGTTAGTATTGTGAGTCAGTTTATGTCCTCTCCCACTATCACTTGTTGGGAGGCTTTGGGGCAGATCTTATGTTATTTGAAAGGAGCTCTTGGGCATGGTCTCTTGTACAGTACTCATGGACATTCAAATATTGAATTTTATTCTAATGATAGAAGATCAAATATAGGATATTGTGTTTTTGTTGGTAGAAAATTAGTATCATAGAGAAGTAAGATATAGAGTGGACTATCTCGTTGGAGCACCAAATAAGAATATCAAGCTATGGCATAGTCAATACGTTAAGTAATGTAGTTACATCAACTTTTAGATAAGCTTGGTCTTAAGATTTCTCTACCAATTAAGCGGTAGTGTGATAATCAAGCTACTCTCCATATTGCTTCTAATCTTATTTTCCATGAATGAAGCAAACATATTGAGATCAACTATCACTTTATTCATGAAAAGATTCAACAAAAGGTTATTTCAACAGGGCATGTCAAGACTAGAGAACAATTAGGTGATATTTTCATGAAAGCACTAAACGGAGTTCAAGTTGCTTATATTTGTAAAAAGTTGGGTATGATTAACATCTATGCTCCAACTTAAGGGGGGATTGTTATAAAAAGATTGTGTAAGATTATGCAGGATTGTGTAGGATATTGATTTGATTATGTAGAATATTAATTTAACTAATTAGCTCAATTAAGGATTTTCTCATTTGTAGCCTTCTTAATTAGTATAGGAACTTTGTATATATTTTTTTCTCTTGTATCATCTAAATATATAAAGCAATAGAATTTCTTCACATCTTTATTCAATGACAATATGAATATAAATGAGTTCGCAAGGATGCTTGTAGGTTTAAAATGCAATTACAATTTCACATCAGGATGGGGTGAGGTAGCTGTTCCCGCAGGCTAATCTTGAATAGGATTCCCAGGCCCAGACCCCTTTACAGGTTCATCAACACTGGAGACGAAACTGCTTTCTTCCACCAGGTCTCAGATACTGCAACCTTCCCACCCACCCCTCTCCCCTTCTTTATTTGTTGGATTGAGGCTTAGCAAGAAAGGGGAAGCTTGTCATACCTAAATTTAACCCAGGGGAAGAAAGCCTATTTCATCACCATGCTGACCCTGCAAAGGTGTCTAAGTCCCATCCTAAACCAACCTGCTGGAAGTAAAGTTTTGAGAAGCTCATTCTTTAAAAGCTAATTGTCTCTATAAAATCACAAGTGATCTCAAATCTGACAATACTCATCCCTAGCCATTTAAACAAGCATTCATTTTGAATAGGCATTTAATAGTCTCCAAATTTCCCAAAAAGAAAAGAACAAATAGGCATCATCACCCATTCCACCACTTTGGATTGACTACAAAAACAAAGGAACTGGAAAATGGACACTACAAAAACAAAGGAAATGGTAAATGGAGAGGGGAAAACAGGAATCTACAGATATCAAGGATGATGACAAAAATAAAGGTAAGGTCAATAACAAATGAAGCAATAACAGAAAGCATAGAAATAATCAAGATACTCACAGAATATGATGCAGTCAGGAAACAATTGACAATCTGCCATGCATAGCCAACAGCATGAAAAGACAGATCTGTAATTCCTCCAGATATTGCAGATATAATCTGGAAACAGAAGTGCAATGTCTCATCAACCGAATGTAAATTCGTAGAAACATAAGAATCATATGGACTAGTAAGAAAGGGTTTCACAAACACATGGCTAAACTTTTAGAATAGCCTCACCGCATAAAGATAGATCACATGTTGCTGAAAAAACATGGGTGTATATTGTTACTCATTTTCACACATGGGAACCTTGTCGTAAGGGTTAACTAATCTATTATCCTCCCACTGAACCTCAGGGCAAGAAATGCAAAATCAACACCAATATCAGATAACATATTCCAGCATTCAGCTGTAGACATTAAATTCCATGCACATCAATTTTCTGTGCCAATTCCAATTGTTTACAAAACATAGACACGCTTGGCAAAACTTGACATATCAAACCTCTTCACCAAGACAGTTGCAATATAGAATATACTGTCACGCCTATACACATATATGCAACAAATGTTAAGTGATATAAAATGCAGCAAAAAGAAGAAAGGGGAAAGTGAAGGATGGGATCACCCATGGTAGCAGGCATACATAAGTTCACAAAATCATATCAATAACCAAGACTGATTAATGAAGAAATCAATTTACAAATATCTAGAAGAAGCATCCTACTCTTACTAGAACTCCAATTTCAAATCCTAAAAAGATAACCCTAAAATGGATAATCCTAATCCTAAGATCACATAATTCATAAGAAATCCCAAACAAAAAAAAGTTTAAATTTATAAATTCCGTAATAAGTTAAGTTCCAAAAATAATAGAACAATATAAAACCATTTTGAATTGGTGAAGTAGGAAAAACTTCAACACATATCATGTTTTTCAAAGGGGAACTCTAGGGGAACTCTAGAGGAACAATAAACTCGATGATATATATATATATATATATATCTTCATTTTTGGCCTTCATTCACAAATGCTGCTTGAGCATCTTTTCCATTGCTTCCAACTGCTGTAATTAGCATCTTCCATAATCTTTTTCGGTAGAATTTTAATGACATGTTTTGTTTTCTCCATCCATCATTTCCATCTTCATCTTTGCTAAATTGTTGGCCCCCATGTCACATAAAAGCTCAAGCTTGTAGGTAGACTTAATTATTTATTACCAATGTTTGTCAGAATTGTAACATTCATGATTCCAATCGTGCAATTCGATATATAATTCACGAAGCCAGCAATTCGTGTTAGCCATTAAATTGCACAAGTATCTGAATCGTGTGATTCATGCACGAAACGATACAATTCTCAATACAATTCACAATATGATTCAAGATTGGACAAATTTTATTATATAAGATATAATTTTTGCAGGCTAAATCAAGAGTTAGTAGTCTGATAATTATTTTACATTAAATAACTGTATAAATTTGCAAAAATTCAAGGTTAGACACTTCTTTCATATTAAAAATTTAAAATTGATTAATGTGTCTTAAAATTGATTATGTGTCATAAACTCAATTTTAAAATTTAAAATTGGTAAGGTAATTCTAGGTATGACTAGTTTCTTAAAAATTTCATAATTATTAAAATTGCAGTAAAGTCAAAAGGTATTAAATATAGAGGTCACCATTTGTAATCTCCTACTTAAGCTTGATAATGTTAATATGAATTCCCTCCCTTGCACTTGACATCTTGCCATGAATTTTCTTTTATCTTTTTCTCTTTGCTTTATCGCATTTGTGGCTTGCTCAACCCTAAACTTGATATCTTGGTTTGAGTTCTCTAATTTTGCTAGTTTATAACCGTGACTTCATGGTTATTCAAACTATAATTTGCGAGCTCCTTACTTTTCCTATTTTAATTAATGACCTTATTCTCCTTTATTTTTTTTTTTTAATAAGTTTGTTCTTCCTTAAATTTCAATTTGTGGATCAGCCAGTCAGTCCATTATTTTTGCATTCTAATTATCCTTTAAAAGTGATTAGTATGTTTTTCTTCCAATTTGGTTCAGAATGATACTCCTCATTGTACAAATATTATTTTTTGTTTATTTGCAATTATTATTCTTCCGTACTATCTAAATTGCTATCTTTGCAGCAGTATCTCATTTCAAATGGAATTATTTACCTCTTGAATTGTTTGTTTCCATAACTTGCAACCACTTGAGAATGTTATGACTGAATCCATGTCATTCCTACTTGAGCCTAAGTTATTGCCAAAAATGAATTTTTTCTCAGAAAGAAAAAAAAAAAGAATTATTTGGGATGTCAAAAGAAATTTGGCTTGAAAAGAAAGTTTAGCTCAAAACAAGTAGATTTTTCATGTATGTTCTGCCATTTTGGGAAAAGAATGAACAAACTAAATGGATCAATTTGCATGTACAGGTGATGCTCTGAAAAAAGTTCTTAAAAGTGCAATGGTTTTACAGGAAAAAAAAAATAATGAGGCAATCTTTCTAATAAGAAAAAAAGTTAAAATTTTTTTCTCATAATAAGAAAAAGGCAATCTTTATACACACACACACACACACACACACACATAAAATTTAGTTTCTAAACCTAACCCTCTCGTCTCCCATGCACAAATCTCACAATCCCCTTTCCTCTCCTTTTACTGCCATTACCTCACCTCCAGTCGCCTCTCTCACATCTCTCCTCTCCCATGCACAACTCTCACAAAATTTATTTTATTTTTCTCTTATGCATTCAATTTGTATTAATTATGGTTATGATTCATGGTCAATGTAGATGGAAAGGCAACAAAACAAAGTGAAAAAATGACTCAATCATTTTTTCTCTTTCTTTTTTCTTCTTATTTTTAAGTCTCTCTTAGCTTTAAAATAATAGACATAATGTTATTGTATTTGATTGAATTATATTATATACCTCCTTATTTATTTTATAAGTCTTTTTATCTCTTTGTCCATCTATTTATTTACTAAATTTAAGTCATCTCATTAAATTTGCTTACTTATATGTACAAAAGTGTTTATACTCATTATTTCATATTATTTGACTTACTTGGTTAGAGTTAAAAAATAATTTAATACTAAAAAACCGAACTGTACTATACCGTACCGTACAATACCGAAACCAAACAAAACTGAAGGAGTTGGTAGTGATACCAAAAAGTGTGGTTTTGGTTTTAATTTTAAAAAATCGAATAAATTGATACGGTATAAATTTTATAAAAAACCCGTAAAAAACGAACCGTGAACACCCCCATTTAAAACTCTTAGAGCAATTGTTTCACCCATATCAATTCACAAGTAGCTACTGCCATAGATCGATATTCAGCTTCTACACTACATCGTGCGACAACATTCTACTTCTCACTCATCCAAGACATAAGATTACCACCAACAAACAAAAACACAATATCCTAAGGTGGACTGCCTATCAACAAGAGAACCAGCCTAGTCTACATCAAACCCACAATTGGAGTATCTCCTCTGTTTTCATATAGCAACCCTTGTCCTAGAGATTTTTTAATATACCTTAAGATTCGAACAACTATGTTCCAATGATCAGTTTGTGGGGATTGCATAAATTAACTTAATACATTCACTACAAAAGAAATATCAGATTTGGTAATAATGAGAGTATAGTTTATCAACCAATATCCGTTATCTACCGAGATCTAAATAAAGCTCTTCTTGATCTGGTAATAATTTGAAATTTGAATCCATAAGACTATCAACACGTTTACATCCTAGCATACCAGTTTCCTCCAATATATCCAAGGAATATTTTCTTTATGAAATAGCAATACCATTCTCAAACTAAGCTACTTCAATACCAAGAAAATATTTAAATTTCCCCAAATCTTTAGTCCGAAAGTGATGAAACAAATGTTTTTTTAACTGAGATATTTTATTAAGATTGTTATCAGTGATCACTATATCATCCATACAAACAACCAAATAAATACACTGGCCAGATGAAGAATGTTGATAGAAGACTAAATGATCAGATTTACTCTCTATCATACCAAAAGTTTAGACAACAGCACTAAACTTTCCAAACTAAGCACGTGGAGACCGTTTCAACCCATATAAAAATCGCCGTAACTTGCACACCAAACCTAACTCCCCTTGAGCAACAAATCTAGGTGATTACTCCATGTATACTTCTTCTTCAAGAGTACCATAAAGAAACGCATTTTTAATGTTCCGCTAATATAACAGCCAATTACTAATAACTACCATGGTGAGAAATAGTTAAACAAAAGCAATTTTAGCTACCAGAGAAAAAAGTATCATCGTAATCAATACCATAAATTTGAGTATATCCCTTAGCGATAAGACGTGCTCTAAGATGATCAATTTTACCATCTGGGCCAACCTTAACATCGCTCATCCATTGGTAGCCAACAATAGTTTTTTCTTGGAAGAAAAGAAACCAAGTCCCATGTATCATTGTGCTCAAGAGCAATCATCTCATCAATTATAGCTTGTCTCCATCCTAGATGAGAAAGTGCCTCGCTGAAATTTTTAGCAATAGAAACAGATGACAGAAGACACTCAAATTGTGGGGTACTCTAATGGAAACTAGGTTGGTTCTCTTGTTGATAGGCAGTCCACCTCAAAATATTGTGTATTTGTTGATGGTAATCTTGTGTCTTGGAACAGTAAGAAGCAGAATGTTATCGCACAATCTAATGCAAAAGCTGAATATCGATCTATGGCAACAGCTATTTGTGAATTGACATGGGTGAAACAATTGCTCAAAGAATTAAAGTTTGGGAGTGTTAAGCATATGAGGTTATATTGTGATAATAAGGCTATCTTACACATAGCCTCAAATCATGTTTCTCATGAGAGCACTTAACATATAGAGATCAATTATTATTTTATTTGAGAAAAAATTCTGTCTAAGAAAATCATTACAGAATTGGTCTACTCAACTAATCAAGTTACTGATATTTTACAAAAGCTCTCCGAGGTTCAAGAAGTCATTATATTTGTGACAAGTTTGGTGCATATGATTTATATGCTCTAACTTGAGAAGTGTTGAGATTGTGTATATATTCCTCTCCTATATTTGGAGATTATATAAATAATTAGAGGATTTGGTTAGGGATTTGATCTATTTCCTTTTATGTACATTACAAGGCTGTATATATTCTTCAATTGAGGATCGAATAATATACAGAAAATTCATACAAACCTTATTCTCATTAATGATTAAAATATTAGACAAAAGGACATGCTTCAAATGCAAGCAACATATCAAATTCAGACAGGAAAACAATAATGACTAAACTTTTAAATAAAAGGACATGCTTCAAATGCAGGCAACAGATCAAATTCAGTGAGGCAAACAAAATTAAAAGTCTTTTGGATTAAATAATTCAGAAAAAATTACTCCGTCCAAAGTAAACTCAGCATACCATTAAGAAAAGAGCAGCCCAAACTCTGTTGTCATGTTGCTTACTGAATAGGTACATTTCACCAACTGCAGTAATCACATTGGTAACATTCTTCAAGACTGTGACCATGGCAACATTAATATACTTCAGACTGCAAACAATAAGAATCATAATTAACTACTGAGACTTCTATAAATGAATACATCTCCAATTTGATTGAATAAACAGAGAGGCCAATAAGTTAGCTCAAGAGAAATAACAGTTGAAAAAGGATCACGTTTTAGAAGTGGTTCAGCAGCAAACTATAAAATGCATCTAGAAGAGAAATAACAAGGACAAATCGCCAAAGTTCAGTTACTTAGCAGTGAGATACTACATAAATCCACATAGAATAAAAATAACTACATAGCAGTGTCAAGTATGATGGCCAGATTTATAGTGGCCATGGTTATTTAGATGCCCCAAAATATTGACCTCAAAAGGCACATTCAAGTCATTGTTCTGGTCCTCTGTCTCATGCATGAACATCGAAAATGTACCCAAGAGAGAGATCTAGTCAACAGGTAGAGAGAGACAGAGAACCCTGGACAGGTCTCAGAGTTTGAAATTGCTGGATGCAAGTAGAAATGCAAAAACATTCAGCCTTTGAATAAAATATGAGCCAATCAAACAATTACCGAAAGAAAGATTGAACTTCAAAATATCTTATAAACAATCCAACACACAAATTTCATTTTTGGTGCTACTGATCTTAAGTTCTTATCTCAGCCAGAAAACTAGAACGTTAATGAGAAATTTCATTGATCCAAGTCTATATTGTAATACTAACAGTATAAAATTCTGGGTCCCCCAACATGAAGTTGCCCAGATCATGTCGAAAAACAGAAAATATACAGAACATCTAAGAGAATTCTAGATATAGTTCAGTAGCTCAACTACAATGATAAATTTTCATTTCTCCTTCAGAGTCAGGCAGAGCACTGTCAAATCCAGGTCTCGTGGATACTCATTCAGAGAAACAAGATTAAAAGGACAAAATGAATAAAAATGAAATTTGAAAAAAAAAGGCAAAACAAGAACTCAGCTATTTTATCATGGAAATTCTAGGTAGTATCAAACACAGATCTGCCCCATGCCTTCCACTCATGTATAGGATTATTGTTTTGAGATTAAACACAAGAAAGCAAAAGGGGACCTTCGGTTGATAATACAGCCATTCAAAACCACTTAATGCCCTATGCAATGCTACTAATAGTTGTTGCCAAAAATGCAAAAAATTATTTTGCACATTCACTCAATTGGAGAAAATAAGTATGCGTTACACACACACACAAATATGTAAGGTTTCAAATTATTTCACATTCACTCAATTAGGGAAAATATCAATAACTTGCATATCTTATACAAGCCACAAATAATCCCCAATCACTAAACAAATGTTTGACATTTGGGTCTTCACTGCGGGGAAGCAAGGAATCAAATGCTGAGTCAGTCTAAGCCACCTCTCTCTCTGTCTCTCTCTCTCTCTCTCTCACCTTTTTCTACGCATAAGATAGTTTATAAAACCAGCATATGATTCTTCCATGGTCTTCAGAGAAATTGGATGGTGTCCTACACCAATTAACACACCCATTGTAGGTAAGATAGAAAAAGGGGGGTGGGGGAAGGGAGGGGAATGTGCATTGGCTGGGATTGGGGAAGGACAGTGGTCATCGAGGTTGGGGAAATAAGGAAGAGAAGGGTAGAAGGTCTTTTTCTTTTTTTTCTTTTTTTTTTTTTTTTTTTTTGGGGGGGGGTGGGTTGGGGAAGGGGGGCGTTCACTGCACTTAGGAGAGAAGTTAAGGAGTAGCCATTTACCAGGAAGTAAGCTGCCAACACCGGTGGCATAGAAAGGTTAGTGTTTTTCAGGGCCACTTTTGCTCAGTAAATTATTGTTTCAAACCACACCAGCCATTTTTTTCTCACTAAATAAATAACTTTATCTGCTGTTTCAGCAACTTTTTCTTTTGCATTCTTTTCCTCCAACATCACCCCTTTTAAAAGTTAATGAAAATGACCACATTGAACAAATTCAACATATTTATAGGACAACATGAACATATTTAAGTAGATGGTTCAAATTGAATGAATATATTTAAGTTCAGGGCTTATTAATGGCTTCAATCCAAGAAAAAATAAGCAAGCATAATCTGGCACAAAGCCATCATTTTGATTTTAATCAGTGGCTTTCCAGTATTTGATTTTCATTTTGATGACCTTTTAGGTCAACATTTCGATGAAACAAATGGTAGAAAAAAAAGAAATGTGCAAGGTTCCACAACAGCATAAGAAGATGAAGAACTACAAATTAATAAATTTGGATGCCAAAACAAGTTTATCAATGATTAATTGCAGTGCTGATGCCTAATGCCTACACATTTATGGCATTTGGTTCGCAGCAAAAGAATTAAACCAGGATGACATTTAAATCTTAAATACACATTAAGAAAGAAATACTTCTTACCTTAACATGCTGGTGATTAGCATCCCAACAAAAATAATGTTCACAGGAAACCAGACCCTAATCAATCTCCATGTGAGTGGTTCTGTTGTTATTACTCCAAACAAGCTCAACAAGGAGACAATCACCACTGAAACAAAATTCTGCACCCACATGATGAAGCAATAACTTCATAGTTTGCAAAATCAACTTTCAAGTGAAAAATCATTTTCAAGCACCAGAGTAACAGTCTAAGTCACTGTTGGAAACTAATAAGAACTTCAACATTGAAAAATAACCTGGTAGAGCATCAAAGATATTCCAGCATTAAAATCATAACCAGAAAGGATATACTTGTTGACCAATATCATGCTACAAGATGAAATACAATATGCAAGACCAGAAAATAAGGCCTGGTTGTGTATTTTAACCATCTTGCTACTTCGTATTATCTTCTCTCGGTCTTTTTCCAATTTACCACCTTCCACATCAATCTCATCACTGTTAAGTGCCTTCATGGCCAAGAAAAAGACCTGTATGCATATAAAATAAAAATAATTGACACAGATAGTTAAGAGTTAAAACACTGTTGACATCAAGGGGAAGTAAAAGAGGAAAGAAGATGACTAGTAGGAAGTCAAACATTATAGAATATACCATAAGAGGTTCTTACAACATACTATGGATTCAATACAAACAGAAGGAAAAAACAACTTGGGCAACATTTGGCTCACATCCACATTTTATGACCCCTTTGAACTATATCCGTTCTTATATCACTTTAACACCAGAACTGTGGCCTGGTTTTCTAGCTACCAAAAACTTCTACTGAGGGCCCCAAAAATTTCACCTAAATTCATGCTTGCTTGCCCAATTATCCAATTACCATTTGGAAGAGGCAGACATGTTAAATGGCTTAGACATGGGAGCCAGAATAATTTCTCAAAATAAGTTCTTAAACTGTTTGTTTTCATCATCCACCTCCTACATTTGGTATTATTCCAGGTTTTAGAAGGTAATTTGTTGGGGGCAAAAAGAAAAACTGACTTTTTCACCTATTATTCCAGGATTTAGAGCAACTAGTATTTGGATTAAAGCTGAAGTGATTGCAAATCTCCCTTATCTAGCAAGACTATTAATAATTAGATGCAGATCAAACTCTTACACAAGCCCAATTTGGGAAAGTGATACTGTTGACTAGTATATGGGATTGACCTATTAATAAAATAGTCTAATTCAAAAGGATACTTGATCATGTGTAACTCACATGGAGAATTTTTAATTTGCTTATTAACAATTTGCTAGTGGAGGAGGAAGGGGCAGGCAGTGATACTTTTTGTTTCTTTAAAGAGCCATGAGCTTGTATAAAATAGTCTGAAGGGACAACATGTTGCTGCTGACAGTTTAGAGAGTCCTGAGTAATCTAGTATGCCATTTTGATCTCCTCTTGGTATGCTATGTAGCAATTTGAGAAGGTGGTCATTTATTATTTATACACAACATACACTCATCTATCTTCACATCATTCAAAAGAAAAAAAGATGGAAGATGAATTTTTTACTCAATTTATCATTGCCATTATTGGCAGTACATATTAAACTAAGAATATTTTTGTTGACATCAAAATAAAAATGAATGTTAAATAATTTTAAACTAATTTAATATTATGACAAACAATTTCAAATAAAATCACAAATATATTATTTAAACAAAGCATTTAAAAAAAATAAATAAATAAATAGAACTACTAGCCCCAGCATTGTGCAGGCAAGCCTCTATAGTTCTTTCAAGGCAAGTGACCTGTAGACAGAACAAGAATAGGCATGCTTATTATTAAATCATATATTCTAGCAATGCAATAGTTTTGGTACAATATAAGGTTGAAAAAGAAAAGGATAAGCATACCTTTATAACAACACATCTATCATCATCAAAGTCAAATACTAGAGAAACAAGAGAATAGAAGTATTAAACCAGGCTATCTATGACATACTAGGCTAAATTTGATCAATTTAATAGAAGTACTCAACAAGCCTTCTCCCCAAACCCATGAAGCCTCAAAATAAATTCTATGTTTCCATTCTATTTGCTTAGATGTCCTATCATGAGTTAAATTATAACATATGAAATTTTTCCTTACTGTCTCAACCCAATTTAGTTCACATCTAACCCCACCATCTATGCTTACCCCATATTTTATAAAAAACCCCATTGTCAAGATTTGGTGCTAAAGCACAAAGAATTGATAGCTTGAACTTGTGTCTTTTCAGATTCATGTTCTAGAAACAATAAAAGAAGACAATAGCATCCAACTTTTACATGAGCCTAAAAAAATGTATTTGGAATAGAAAGCTCAATGCTAAGATAGATTCAAAATCAGAAACAGAACCATTAAAAAGAAATTTAGCTACTCTCATAATCTTCTATTCAACTTGCTTGACTTTAAAACTTGCTGTGTGTGAACCTTTATATCATCAATCTTGGCTTTCTTGGTTTGAACATCATAGTTATTGTGTTTGTTGGTGTTTTCTTCAACTGCCAGAGCAACTTCTACTTTTGCTTCCTTTATATCCTCACCTTGGTCAATATTAAGAGTTTCAATAAGAGAGAAAGCAAATAGTACAACTATTGGTCATAAATTATTCTCCAGTACTACGCCCTCCATCAAGGAAAAGAAGTAAAAGGAAGGATCTGATGATTCCCATAAAAGAACCTACTATCATCTCCACAGATAATATTCCCGAAACAAACTCTTTTGTTAGTGCTGAATTGATTATTGAAAGCAACAAAAGCTCAGAACAACAATTGCGATGGTTGATTGAAAGAGAAATTTTTGAATTAAGCCAGGATTTTGTAGTTCATTACCAATTCAAATTTAGTGTAGCTTGGAAATATGGCTATTTAATCAATGAACCACCAGAGAACTACCCCCCCCACCCCCCCCCCCCCCCCCCCCCCCCCCCCCCCCCCCCCAAAAAAAAAAAAAAAACAAAAAAACCTTGCCAAAGAATCAAAAATAGGGGGGAGAAAGTTAAGCCTATACATAAAGGCATCACCAAAAGTTGCCAAAGCTTGACCATGATCTTTGGTAAGCAGTTCCCACCTAGGGGGTTGGGGTTCAAGATTGGAGGAAATAATTGTAGTTTTTTCCTCCCCCTCATTCTCAATGTACCAAAAATGAAAAGAAAAGAAAAAGAAGCAGCCAAAGCTTCACAAAATTTCTCATACCATGGCCGGATACAACAATTATATGGATTTTAAATTTTTATGTGATAGAATTAAAAGTTAGTTTAAAAAAATGGTTTGAAGAAAAAGGTTGGGTATTTTAATGAGATATTTGTTTATTTGTTTAAAACACTTTATAACATTATAATTTTTACCCAACTGAGCCAATGATGATCCCCGTAGTCAATTTCCATAAAATTTAAAAATCAATCAAAATACCTTGGATATAAAACCTAATAAAACATAACAAAACAGCCTATAGCAACATCATCTAAGTGCATAAAATACATAAAAGATAAAAATCAAAAAAAAACAAAACCATAAAACATAATGATAGAAAGCCCTAAGTGTTATTCAATTGAAATCTCAAATTTTCTCTATTCTCTTCATGCACTCACATCAACAAGCTTGGGGAACCCATAATATCTACACCATGAGCCTGAAAATTTCCTTAGGAGTTAAGGGGTACTAATTGAGCAAAAGCAGATGTTGTATCAGGTATTAATTATGGTGTCCTCAAAAAACAAAGTCCATCATCACAAAGACCATTACAATTGAGGAGGTTAAAAATAAAAAAACAATAATAAAAAGATATGATAGGGGTCTATTTTGATATGCTTTTTGTTTTCTGTTCTGTAAAATTGTTCTCTAGAAGAGTTCTCCAAAACAAAATTCTCAAAAACTAGTTTTTTGATGTTGTTTTCCAAAGATACACATTCTTCTCCTAACCCTAACCCTCATAACTCTCCCCTCCCTCTCTCCTCCTTCCCCAACCAGTTGCTGCCACCATCACCATTGTTGTTGTCTGCCTCCATTGCTGCCAATCCTAACCCACCTTCCTCGGATTAATTTATGCAAAGTGAGATAGATCGACCAAACCTCAAATCACCTATTGTAATAGATCTACACAACTCAACTCCCCTCTCTATGATGGACATAAAGATAGAGAGGGATTGATGGTGGTGGTTGGAGATAACAGACAGTAATATGACCACCAACGGTGGCTGTAGAAGGGTGGGCAAGGAGCAATGGTGACACTCATGGTTGGTGGCTGTAGAAGGGTGGGCAAGAAGCAATGGTGACACTCATGGTTGTTGGAGAGAGCAAGGGTGACAAGTGCCATGTCTGTTGAAGAGCGCAATAGTCACAATTTAGAGGTTAGAGGATGGTGATGGTGATGACACAGTAGCCAGAGGGTGTTTGATAGCATGGTGATCGAAAGGCAATAGCAGCAACATTGTAGTGATGGTGGGAAAGCAGCAAAGAGGCTTTTGCTCATCCAAGTCTCTTGAGAAATGGAAAACAAGAAACAGTTCTTGAAAACATTTTTTTGTTCTTCTCAAAATTTCCCCATTTTTTGAACTTTTTTCAAAAATTAAGAACTACAATACATATACAAACATGTTATCCATCAGTTTTCTTTTCTTGACAACAAAAAGCTGTGCTCAAAAACATAACAAAACACCCTATATTTCTTTTTCCTTCTCTAATTTTTTTTCTTTTTTTTTTTTAGAGGAATGAGGGGGGGGTTTCCTAGAGAAGGCCGAAGCCTTGTCAGAAAGGAGGATGTAAGGATCAAACTTCCACAAGACATATGGCACAAAAAGCCCCAATGCCGGAACCAACCACTTCTTATGTTTTCATTTAATGGGAACAAGACATCTGACTCTAATTTGATGCTACTTTGCATAAGCACTGGGTGATTTTATTTGAGCCAGGATGTGTCTTACAATTTGACAAAAGGTTTTGTTAAAAATGGAATCCCAGAGCATTTATTGTAACATCAATGCATGGCCAAGTTACTAAAACTCTTCTAAATATGAAAAGCATCCACATTGGAGACTAACTATTCAGGTAAGGTATGAACATGTACATGACATATTGCAATCAAAGGATCCTATCATAGACATAAAAGATCATTCCCTTCTACTTCATCCCAGCTTTTGGTGTTTGAATGACAATATGCTACTAACTTTTGCCACTCTTTCATCTAAGGGATACAACCAGATTTTTTCTGCTTCTCTTTATCTGACAGATTTATCCCAACAGAAGACAAATTATGAAAACATAGTAAGGAATTTTTACATTTTATAACACTTCGAAACTAATGTATAAAATTATGAAACCCTTCTCCACAATGTCTCGTTTCCATACTTAAGTCTAAGCAACATAGAGAATACATATTCCATTTTTGAAGGAGAGTTAAAGATAAAAATTGCAGTAATATTCTTTGGAAGTGCATAATAGATTATCAGCTTGTAAATTCTAACTGATGCCTAGCAAATGAAGCAATATTCTCTACAATGTG